TAGAGGCTTTCCATTTTCTTTAGATAATCAGTCGTATCTTGGATGTAAGAGGGTAGTTCTTTCACATGAGGTCTTAGATGATGGTCTAAAAATTCTGATATCTTTTCAGTAGGATGACTATTTGCTGAAACAATTGGTCGACCTGGATTGCCCGTTTTATGTATTTTAGGCAACATATAGAATCTTCCGGCCTTTGCTTCGTTCTCAAAAGGTCGGAGATAATCAAAGGTGTCATTGTCTATATGCTTTTTGTCGAACATCTCTTGAAGGATGGTGTTGATCTTTCGAATATTATTTAGTGTTGGATCTGTGGTTAATTGTTTATAAAAAATGGAGTTTGAAAGTTGGCGATTTCCCTCTGCTATGTAATCTGTTTTATTCATGACAACCACAGCGCCCCCTTTGTCAGCAGGTTTTATTACGATATCCTCTTGATCTTTTAACGCTTTCAAAGCAATGCTTTCTGACTTGGATAAATTATAATTTCTTGTATTTGTTATACAGGACTTTATATCAGACCTCACGTAGTTAATGAATGACTCCAAGTTATCATTTTTACTCTTAGGTGGTTTCCATGAACTTTTTTTCTTAAATTTTGGGATGGGCGTGATTTTAAAAATGTGTCTTCCATTGTTCAGAAGCATTGGAAAATTATAGAAAATGATTCAAATCTTAAAAAAGTATTTTCCTCACCACCAGTCATGGCCTTTAGAAGACCTAAAAACATCCGTGACAAATTAGTGACATCTGTATTAGCAAAGCAGCCTACTCAATCTCCCGGTTGCTACAAACAATGTGGTCGAAGGAACTGCTTGTGTTGTAAAGCTGCCAGTACAAGCAGTTCTTTCATCAGCTCCGTTACTAAACAAAATTATACCATCTACTCAAATTCCAACTGTAAAACGGAGAACTCAATTTATATATTAACATGTGACACATGTGGCATTCAGTATGTGGGAGAAACAATGGACAAATTTAATATTCGGCTCAATAACCATCGTTCATGGTACAAAACCAACAAAAACTGTCCTCTCACAAGACATCTTCGTTCAACGAAACATTCTTTTGATAATGTTACCTTCCAAATCATAGAAGTCAACACCGAGTGGGACACCACGGCGAGAAGGAGAAGAGAAAATTTTGGGATCCACCAACTCCACACTTTAGAACCTGATGGTCTTAACGAAAAAGATGAGAAAAGATACAGGAAAGATAAAGAATAATTTAGTACACAGCATCGTCCTTTTTATCCTGTAATATTGGCCAATGGACGATGCTAACTTCAACTACCAATTTTGTAAAAATCTTGAACTTCATCCAAATTATGTATTATTTTCAAGGCAGCTAAATTCAAGTGCAACATATACATTGAGCTGCAAAAGTTTCTTATCGTCTACATCCGATTTCACCTGGATAGATGCACGCTTGATAAAGCTAGTTAGTCTAGCGAAATATTGCGTTTATTTTCATCATTTTGTAAATATTTTAAACATTCTTATATTTACATACTAAATAGTGTGTTAAAATTACATTGTTAGGCAATCTATAATTTTATTTGTGTAATTGAATTAATCTCTGTACTGATTAATCCACACTCCCATAGATTTGTATGTCATGTGCTGCTATTTATAGGCACTTATATTATTATCTTCAGTAGCACGCATTTCACAAATGTTTGTGTAATCCATTCAAATCTATCGCTATCTTTACAACATGGATAGCGCACTGCATTTCAAGAAATTAAGATCTTTAACTAAAAAGAAACTACAAACTGAACATCATTTATCAAACTTAAAAAAATATATTCAAAGTAGAACTGTACCAAAAGGTTTAAACATCAAAGTGAGTCCCCAGGCACCGGGACATAAATCCAAAAGATTCATGAGCCGTTGGAATGAAATTCTGTTTAACTGTTCAATCCAGCTACTTCAACTGTTACTTTCTTTTACAACCACAAATTACAAACAAATTGTAAATGAAATATCAGATATCATCAACAATAGTAACATTTCACGTGACGATTTACCAATAATTAAACGTCGCCTCGCAGATATTGAAAAAATTGAACTATCCAAACATAAAGAAAAACAAAGGAATAAATTTCAAAGAGATAAAATTCACACTGTCTATTTAAATCAGGATATGAATGATATCAATACAACAAACCATAAGGTCCCTAGAAAAAGAAAATTCAAAAGACGGAAACAAAAAACTGAAAGCATTGTTGTAAATTTGTCATCTAAAGAACTTACACGTGCTGAAGAATCTCTTTTAAGTAAAGGTTTAAACTTCTGTCCTATCCCATCAAATGTAAATAACTTTCAGCTAGACGAGGACTTAGACCAATTCGCTAGACGTTTACGCTTGAAAGATTTTTTCTACAATAGGGGCAAGAAAAACCTGGAAGAAGCTGGATTAACAGATTCAGATACTGACATCAATGAAGAAGTCACGCCCATCCCAAAATTTAAGAAAAAAAGTTCATTGAAACCACCTAAGAGTAAAAATGATAACTTGGAGTCATTCATTAACTACGTGAGGTCTGATATAAAGTCCTGTATAACAAATACAAGAAATTATAATTTATCCAAGTCAGAAAGCATTGCTTTGAAAGCGTTAAAAGATCAAGAGGATATCGTAATAAAACCTGCTGACAAAGGGGGCGCTGTGGTTGTCATGAATAAAACAGATTACATAGCAGAGGGAAATCGCCAACTTTCAAACTCCATTTTTTATAAACAATTAACCACAGATTCAACACTAAATAATATTCGAAAGATCAACACCATCCTTCAACAGATGTTCGACAAAAAGCATATAGACAATGACACCTTTGATTATCTCCGACCTCTTGAGAACGAAGCAAAGGCCGGAAGATTCTATATGTTGCCTAAAATACATAAAACGGGCAATCCAGGTCGACCAATTGTTTCAGCAAATAGTCATCCTACTGAAACGATATCAGAATTTTTAGACCATCATCTAAGACCTCGTGTGAAAGAACTACCCTCTTACATCCAAGATACGACTGATTATCTAAAGAAAATGGAAAGCCTCAATCCTCTACCAAGCAGTACTATACTTGCATCCATGGACGTGTCTTCTTTATATACCAACATTCCACAAGACGAAGGAATAGCAGCGTGTGAAGAGGTATGGAACACTCGTAGTGAAAAAAATCCTCCAACTGAGTGCCTTGTTACACTTCTGAAACTAGTGCTAGAGAACAACAACTTATCTTTCAATGAAAAACATTATCTCCAGATAGACGGTACTAGTATGGGCACAAAAATGGCCCCGTCATATGCCAACATATTTATGGGCCAACTTGAAAAACGCCTCTTGGCTAGTGCTCCATACCAGCCCTTATCATGGTTCCGATTCATTGACGATATTGATTTCAAATGGACAGATTCACAAGAACATCTTAATGAATTTCTACGATACTGTAACTCTTTCCACCATTCAATAAAATTTACATATGAATCATCTATGGAGAAAATAAACTTCCTCGACACTACGAGTTACATCAAGAACGGAACCATTATAACGGACCTTCATACCAAACAAACGGACAAACATCAATTCCTTTCTCCTAAAAGTTGCCATCCTAAACACTGCTCCCGTGGCATCCCATTCAGCCAGGCATTGCGAATCAAGAGAATATGCTCTACTGAAAATACGCAAAATGCTAGACTTGGACAACTACGTAAACATCTAGTTTTTCGAGGATACAATAACAACATCATTGATAGGCTTTCGAAAGAGCAAACAAAACTAGTCGCCAAGAACTTCTAGAGTACAAAGATAAGAATAAAGCAGCTAACAGAACACCCCTTGTACTCACTTACCATCCTGATTTTAAAAATGTGTCTCCCATTGTTCAGAAGCATTGGAAAATTATAGAAAATGATTCAAATCTTAAAAAAGTATTTTCCTCACCACCAGTCATGGCCTTCAGAAGACCTAAAACATCCGTGACAAATTAGTGACATCTGTATTAGCAAAGCAGCCTACTCAATCTCCCGGTTGCTACAAACAATGTGGTCGAAGGAACTGCTTGTGTTGTAAAGCTGCCAGTACAAGCAGTTCTTTCATCAGCTCCGTTACTAAACAAAATTATACCATCTACTCAAATTCCAACTGTAAAACGGAGAACTCAATTTATATATTAACATGTGACACATGTGGCATTCAGTATGTGGGAGAAACAATGGACAAATTTAATATTCGGCTCAATAACCATCGTTCATGGTACAAAACCAACAAAAACTGTCCTCTCACAAGACATCTTCGTTCAACGAAACATTCTTTTGATAATGTTACCTTCCAAATCATAGAAGTCAACACCGAGTGGGACACCACGGCGAGAAGGAGAAGAGAAAATTTTTGGATCCACCAACTCCACACTTTAGAACCTGATGGTCTTAACGAAAAAGATGAGAAAAGATACAGGAAAGATAAAGAATATTTAGTACACAGCATCGTCCTTTTTATCCTGTAATATTGGCCAATGGACGATGCTAACTTCAACTACCAATTTTGTAAAAATCTTGAACTTCATCCAAATTATGTATTATTTTCAAGGCAGCTAAATTCAAGTGCAACATATACATTGAGCTGCAAAAGTTTCTTATCGTCTACATCCGATTTCACCTGGATAGATGCACGCTTGATAAAGCTAGTTAGTCTAGCGAAATATTGCGTTTATTTTCATCATTTTGTAAATATTTAAAACATTCTTATATTTACATACTAAATAGTGTGTTAAAATTACATTGTTAGGCAATCTATATATATATATATATATATATATATATACATATATTGTTGAAGGCCGTATATGGTGACCTATAGTTGTTAATTTCTGTGTCATTTGGTCTCTTGTGGAGAGTTGTCTCATTTGCACTCATTCCACATCTTCTTTTTTATACATATATAATCTGTTTTGATCAAAACGATAAAAAATGTATGATTAATACAAACAACTAGGTTTTCACCTTGTTCACATGTAGTCCCAGTCCACCCATTTAAACAACCAAATATACAATGCCCGACATCAAGGTCACATGGGCCATTACAATTTTGTGGGCACGTTGTATTACACAAAGGCCCATAGTGTGTAGGAGGACAACCTAAAAAGTAAGAATACATGTACAATCAAAACAATTATGTTATCAAATCAACTTCTCAATTTATACAACATCTTAATAGCTTCTTTATTAGCTATTTATTATCTACTTAATCCGTATAAAAAGTTGAACTTTTTGTGTTTAATGATCATGAATTATTCAGAAAACTTTAAAGCTAACCAGACAGAGCGTGCTGAAATGCGAACAGATTAAGTAATTTTCAAAAATTCCACGAAGTAATCAAAATAACTCTTTTAACGCGTACACAAATTTGCTCTCATAGTTGTTCGGTTGTATAAATGACATTGCGTGTATTTCATTGATAAATTGTTTTGATGGACATGGAAAATGTGAAAAGTTATATATATAGCACGCCTTTCACGAATTAACGTATTCAATTCACGAAAAGCGCAGTTTTGAGTGGATTAAATATGTTAATGTGTAAGGCGTGTCTATATATGATTTGTAACATTAATGGGCTATGACACATGTCAAAGGTTAAATGCTGACCAATAAAACTTTACTGTACTTTTCAATATGTCAATCAATGGCGTGATACTGTATTTGATTTTCAGAAAATGTACACACGCAGCAGATGACAATTGGATTTGTATATTCAGATACAGGTACATTTATATGGATTCATACTCGATAGCCATTTATGTGTTATTGAATAGTTTTTTTCTCCCCGAAAATTCTTGAAGGGTGGGGGTAGATGGACAATTTTATTCGATGTTTATTTGCCTTCAAACCCGAAAGGGACGTGTAGTTTCAAAGGAGTTTTAACGTTGTATTAAGAAGGAAATATTTTCCAATACCAATATATGAAATTCATTAATACTGTTTTTCCATTCCAAACAACTATACAAAGATCGATTAATTGATTTGAAATATTGTTGATTGCGAGTAAGGTCCAAGGACAAATATTTGAAGCATGATCAATTCACGGAGATAGACCTTTATAAAATGGAGAAAATTACTAAACATCCAGTGACATATATTTTTTTATGATATTAATAATTTCGACAAGATAAAACAGGAATCAAACTAAAATAACAGTAGGAAAATGTATAGTCATTTCTATTACATTTTGTTTCATTTTTCCATTATTTACTTCTCGAAGGAGGCGGAGTCGGACTGTGCATTAACAACTTCAGAGATGGAAGTAAGAACACTGGTTTAAGCCCCTCCCATTTTTTGCTATTCCAACGAGATGCGGTCAACGGCGGGATTGCAGAGTGCAATAACTTAAAAATCATTCAGTTAACGCACTCCTCTAAAAATAACCGAAGTTAACTCACTTGAAGATCAAAAGAAAAATTACCATTCATGTTACAATGATTCATTATTACGTGGCGTCATTGTCAATATTTTTGAGTACCACGTCCTGTGTGCGATCTAAAATATGTTAAGCAGTAGGATCTACTGAATAATGTAAAAATTGCCAATAATATTGAGGTTGATGTGTTCGTGTTAAAAACACTTCTGATTATGAAAAACAAGTTTTAAATGAAAACAAAACTTTTAAAAAGAGAGGACATGTTTTTAATATATATGAAAAATAAAAAGTGGTTGGAAAAGTAAATTGTCTTACCTCCCATGCATTTGTAGGAGTATCATTGGTTAAGCGAACGCGTGGAGACCGTGCATATGTAATATGGGGTTAGTTGGCGTGTTTTATTTTAATATTCGGTTAGTTGTGGTGTTACGTCCCATTATAAAAACAACACGTCGTTGAGGAAACATCAGAAACGTTTCCGCCGGGAAACAGATGAAGAAATTGATAATGACGATTGAGAATAAATGCAGAAAACACATTAAAAGCTAATAAAATGTTATTGTTGACAGTTGTTTTTTTAATAGACCAATGGAAGTAGGTTCTTAATATTGAAGACTTGGTCATTTTGATAGGCCACTAGTCTAATTGCCACATGTTAAGATAGTCGGTAAGATAAATTCGTTACAAAGTGTGCTAGTGACCTTATACGATATATTTGTCTAGGTTAGTCTATGAAAAGGTATATACTATGAAATTTAGAGCGAGAGGCTTGCCCCGGGCTCTTAATTACATAGTATATACCTTTTCATAGACTATCCAATTAAGCACATATTTACAACTCGAGTGACCTTTTAATTGATCTATTGATAGTTTATTTTGGCTCACTACTTGTATCACAGGTGTTTGTACAACGGAGCTCATTAACGAAGTTGTAAATCTACTCACTAGTATCATTGTAAAATATGTGATTTCAAAAGGCCCTTGACTCCAGAATGAATTAAAATATGGTAGCTGCTGGTGTAAGTATGTTTATTGGTATAAAGCGGAGTTTTATTATACTATACTATGTTTACTGTACTTCCTTACATGGTAAGATGACAAAATAAATTGACCAAAAGCAGGCAATAATTAAACTGCAGTGGAAGCTTTACATGTCTTGAAAACATTTTTAGGTTTTTCAATTCATGACATCGTCCTAAACATGCATGAAATATTTGCCACTGGACATTAAGCAACCAATAATCAATCAATCAATCAATTCATGACGAAGTAGATCAAGTTGCCTTAATTTCCTTTCACAGGGTTTCATAGTACATACTTTTTTGTGTACGAAGTAATTGCATGGATGATAAATTATCATAATTTTAAGATGGCGTTGTACTCTAATCAAGGTATAAAGAACCATATTTGTTACTCTTTATTTAAATGAAAGAAACTTGCAATCGTCAAAAACATTTTTTAGATCCAAAGATTTTAATAGCAGGATATTTAAAAATCAATGTGAAAACTATATTACCAACTATTTAATTTAATTTGGAACGCATCATTTTATTTCAAAATAGCCAGTGGCAATTTTTGTTTTAATATCGTGATTACGATACAATGAAATCTTACCCTTGTGGTCATTCATGCGTAGTAACTTAGTACACGGAAAAAGTATGTACTATGAAAATTAGAAGGCAAATTCTAGCAATTTGATTGGACGAGAAGTTGTAAGTGTGTGCTAAGGGGAAGTATATTCCATATGAGGAGAGAGCGAAGCTCAGCCAATATGGAATTTACTGACCCCATATATATCGTATTAGGTCCCTAGCACACTGTGTAACTAATAATATTTATTTGTGGTAAGTATTTTTAAAATCATATTTCAGTCAAGCTGGAGTAAAGGATACATTTGATTGGTCACATGCTTAAAATACCCATTTAATTGCAATATTTTTAATCTAAGTTTTAAGACGATTTGGGACCCATTCGGTAAAAGAAAGAAGGAATAAATGAAGGGCGTTTTAATTAAAAAGGGAATCAAAAAGAATATTGATCTTACCTTCTGATTGCAAAATATTTTTAAAGTAATGTAGTCCAAATTAGGCAAATGACCGAAATAAGATCGGTTTTTAGAAGGATGAAGTATTCAATGACAAATAAGATCGTCAAACTGATGATATTTTGTACCGAATTCAGGTTTATATAGCACAGAATTAGCAAGTTAAAAAAAAGGACGCTATCACTTTAATACTATATGAAATTTTATTAAAGATTAGAGGTTTTGACGTAATTGAGAAAGTCTTGAATAGAATAGCGTTGTTTGTACACAGTGACATCGTAAAATAACCAGTCGTGAGTTACAATGCAAACCTTTGTTGGCGAGGGAGCAGGCACACGAACATAAGAGCTTTCCACTGAGTTAAACGGTAGATATTGTTACGATATCTATACATATTTAAACTGATTATCTGTTGATCTTTCTAATTCTGATAATTCTTGTATCCCTTAAATATTTTTACGCTTAGTTGCTCTATCGAAAGTCGGCTTGATAAGTCCTACTTCCACATTTTAATGCCGCGGATAAGTTCTGCTTTTAGATTGTGATGTCGCTGATCACTCTTGCTTCCGATTGAAAACTGTACTATTCAGTTCCTATACGGTTTCAGTTAATTTGATTGATTGAATTCGTTAAATGAATGTCCGATGAGACATAACATAACAAATTACTAATAAGTAGGTTCTACAATTTAAGTGGACGTGGATGAAGAGTAAGAATTTCGAATAATTGTGTTTTGAATAGAGGGGGAACCTTTGCTTCATATATGCCACCTATGGTTTATGAGGAATAATTGCCATAGTTATTTAACGTGCTTTTTCATTTACCTAAACACTTTAGCAGAAATATATCCAACATAGGGATGGCATAACCCTCAAACACATAAAAGTACAACCCTCACTGTCGCGTTTTAATTTTTGTAGAAGCAATTTCAGGAGCATCGTTTTCTCGGCCCGAAACAAAATAATAAATGTCATTTGTGTTATATTTCTTAACATATGACATGCATAACTAAATTTTAAATATATGTTAGACTTTTGTCTGCAATCTAGCCAAAACTTTATGTAGAGGTTAAAAAAAATAGTAAGGTTTCTTGAACGTTTCAATTTTATGTCCGAATTTCCTTTTCGCAGATGGATATAAACCATTGATATTGTTAAGGTTTATATAATAAATTGTAAAGCTTAAGGATGTATTCTTCTGACGTTTCAGTCTCGTTGAAATCTCGTTCTTGAATTATTTCCAAAACATGTGATAGAAGTGGAAAATATCAATGAATTTAAAAAATATTATAATCAAACTTAACTCTGTGGAAAAATTGTGTATTTACAAAAGTAGTTTTTGAGTAATAAAATTTTCAAATTTTATAACCAGTCAAGTGTCAAAATGTTGAGAAAATGGGTGAGGGGTACAAGAAATGATTTTACCAGATACATGTTCATCCCATATCAATTTTTTCTTTTCAAATTTCTTAGATATGTATTTTTTCAATCATTTATAACAAAGAAGTTGAAATAATATGCTTTTTGTTCTAAAAAAAGAGAAAAATCCCAAATTGACAAAATTGACAACATGGTAAATTTGTCACGACAAAGCAACAAAATTTTATAAAACTTTCTTATATTAACACCTACCCATAGTTTTTTTAAGTTAAATTTATTCAGATTGGTCCACTGCATCTTTAGTGAAAGTATGAAAAATGTTTAAATGTGAAACTGTGATTTTTTTCATGATAATAGCCCAAAAAATGGGTAAAAATTTATGAAAAATGGGGAAATCATCAAAATTGGGTACTTTCAAATGGCTGTAGCGAAAAAAGAAGTGCACCACCATATTATTTTTTCTTCACCAATTATTTTTTTACAGTCATATAAACCCAAAAATCAGGTTAAGAAAAAAAGTTTAATTCTAAACATTTTTGGCTTCTCAGAGGTGTACATCCTTAATTCAATCTTGTTACCTGTTGTACATGTAATAAGTAAGTCAATATTAATGAGTTTCTGAGCTACCATATTTAAACCAGTGCCTCAGCTGCCTTACCAGCTACGCTACCAGTAATAAATAGTTTGCAACTCAATACCAGGGTTAACAGATTTTAGAATGTACCAGTAATATAGACACCAGTGTGTTAATCTGTATAAATACTTTTATCTATGGGACACACCCACCCGTCCCGTACAGTCATTTCAAATCTTTGTGTTATGCCCTTCTAAAAAGCACTCACCGATTATCCCAATTTCACATAGTTCAAGTTCAGTAAATGGAATCTGAACTGGAGGTACGTAAGTTAGGAATTTAAAAACGGCTTCAAAGTTGATCTCTGTAGGCAAAAATGTCCCATTGTATAAAACAGTTCCACTATTCATTGCATTGCTTTCATTTGAAGCATAAAAAGTATGATGATCCTCTTTTGTTGTACCATCTAAAACAATAACAATAAATGTTTCAGTTCGGACTAACAATACATATTAATTGATATTTGAGATAAATGTAGTTTGATTGGCAATAAAAAGCAGCTTCCCGTTTGAATGCATTTATAAGTAACACAGCAAAACGACACCCAAATTGATAACAGTCAATATCTATACCACACAAAGTCATAACAACTTTGTGTAGAAAGAAATGATCAGCAGAAAAAAAAAGAACATACATATAGAGAAAAAAAAATACAGAAAAGAAAGGCAACATCATAGACACAAATATTCATAACAACCCACAAGAAAAAAAAACTCTTTTAAACAAGGAGTGAAGAACTTAATGTAAATAGTCGTTCACATCAAGTAGAATTTTAAAAGAAAGACAAACAATGTTCGTATGAACTAAAAGATATATATTTCAAATGAATGTCTGCGTAAATAGTGCTACATAAAGATGATAAGTCTCCATGGAATAACATAAATGGTACAAATTTTAATACACCAGTTGCACATTTTGACAATTAATGCACCTTGAGTGATGCGAGAGGTTAAATATTTGATATTCAAAACATTAAAGAGTTAATAAAACCATAGATATTATACAAAGTATTTTAATCATTGCATTTTGATCAATTTTGGTTGCTTAACGACTTTATCTGTAGATTTATAGGTTTAAAAGCGAGGAGGTAGATACCAAAGGGATATTCAAGTTTATAAGTCTACGACAAACTGACAACAACGCTAAGAAGCAGACTTACTATAGCACCTTTTCCTTACGAATAATGAGATGGACCTGACAGATGTTAAGATATTAATAATTGTTTAAATAATTATGTAATAGGACTTTATTAATAGAATTATGTGCATAACAGTGTAGCCGAGACCATTGATTGGCGCGCTAAAATATCCCATTGACTGGGTCAGATTAGGTGAACGTTCGTCTGTAACGCCCACTATCACGACGTATTTATTATAGACAATTAAACTGTGGGGTCACCAAAGGGTCTCAACGCCTAAATAAAATAATTCGAAAAACTAATCAGGAATAACCTTTGTGTTTTGATTTATATTGAATACTTAAACGTTCTTTACTTTTGTTTTTGTTATGTTTTGATACTCAATTTTTATGATATCGCACGTTCTTTCAGCAAAAAAGGATTTAACTGGCTTTAAAAGTTACAATGCTTGTGTTGATTATGTTATAGATAATGCATATTTTAAGGTTTTTCTTGTCGTAGAACACACCGAGGGGTGTCAGGATTGATCAAATGAAAGACCGACCGTAGGGAGGTCTTTCTTTGGGCAATCCTGACACCCCGAGGTTTTTTCTACGACAAGAAAAACCTTAAAATATGCATTATCTGACTTATATACCGTAAAAAATATTAATTTTTATAAAGATTTGCAAAATTTAGCATCATATTTTACCGACCACACTAAAGTGGGATATTCCTTTCTAATGCGTTCAGGTTTTAATACGCCCTACGTATATGTGAGAGAATGATAATCCCTTTCTTCATGATTAAGTACGAGCGTTAGCGAGTACTTATCATGAAGTAAGGGATTATCATTCTCTTACAAACTTAGAATATTGTAAAGTGCTCAAGGCTCAAATGATCTCTTGATTGGTTTTACTCAGAATTAGTTTCATTGTCAGTGCAATGTTTATAATTTATGCATGACTTCCTTTTTAGGCATTTCATTTATGGATTAGTTTTAGTGATGTCAGGACTTTCTTATAATTTGGGAGTATTAAATAAAAATGCATTTTAGACATTAGGTGACACAACAATACAAAGAAAAAGGTAGGAATTGTATATGTTTCCTGATTGTGAGTATGAATGTAAATCATGTAATATTTTAGTGAGGAATTATCCTTTTTTTATTTACAGTTTAAATCAACAAATACATTTGAGTTACAACTAATTTTATTTCACAGCCAATATTTTGGTCCGGCTTTTTAAATCAAATACTATTTCATTATGTCAGGGGAATGTTCAAATAAAATGATTTTAAAAGATTTAAATATATTCAAAAATTAAATTCCTGTTTTATTTTATTTTATTGGAACATTGGAAATAACTCTTTTTTCCCAACCGCTGGTCCAGTAATCAGAGTTTTGGAAAGCTAAAGATTTTGGTTGTTTTTGATTTTAAAACTTTTTTTTTGTATTGCTTTGATATTGTTTAATTTTTTAGTAATTTGAAGTTATTAATATTTTCATAATTAATTAAAGCTACCAATTTTACTGCACCAGTAAACTTCAACTTATTTTGATTTTTTTGTTTGTTTCACAATTCAACAATCACTGTGTGATAAATCCTTTCAATCTGATAAATGTGCTTCAGGGCAGTTGTTACTATTTTATAGAAACTCTTTGTTTTGAACTGTAAATAGACCCAAACAATAGGATAATCCTTTACTAAGAACATGATTTACATTCATTCTTCACAATTAAAAGACATCAAATCATACAATTTCATTGGTCGAGAGCACTTTGCTATATTCTAAAGCTTATTTAGAATGTGAAATAAAACTCACTAATTAATCTAGATATAAACCTTAGTAATTATTATCCATACACAATACAAATATTACTGTAACTGCATGAAGTAAGACACAAATGAATTGTTACCATCCGATAACGGTGTATGAAAAATACAAGACACTTTGTAAGTAATTTATTGTACAAACTTAGTTTATTGAAAAAAAGGGGCGGGGCTATGTTGTTGTTTTTTTTCTACTTGTAATTTGTAAGTGTAAAGCAAAATTCTATCCGGATGAAATATCATCTTGGGGAAAAATGTTACAGAAGTTGTTGTTATTTTTTCATCCGGAGGAAAATATTTCACTGTGATATATTATCCATTGCCGTGAAATTCTATCTGGGAAGTAAAATATTGAATAATTAATAAAAAAAACTTAATCTTTGCAAATACTATGTACTAACAATAGTGTATTTGAATATAAGCTAAATTAGTAAATAAAAAACCAAATAAATGTATTATAATGGGAAATAATTTCACAGATTATAATTGAAAATAATATCCTGAAATATTAAAGTAAATATCATTCTTTTAAAAGACAAATATCATGAAACATATGAAACAAAACCAGAAGTAATTTCACAGATCTTAATTGTGAAATAATATCATGATCAATTTAATATATAAAGTAAGCAGGATATAATTCTATACCCTCACACCCCCACCCCCCCCCCCCCCCCCCTCCCACCCCTTCCCACCGACCCCATTGTGAGGTACGTGGATGTCATTCAATATAATATAAGAATATTTTATTAGTTGATTATTTGATAGAGTAAAAGGTATACATAGATGTGAAAAAGGTAAGAACTGACACGAAGAGAGCACGAAATCTTGATACATGTACATGTAACACGAAAACGAATATCAATACATGTACATGTAGGTCACAGTATGATTTCCTTTTCAGTGTGAATCGACAAGATTTACAAAATCTTACACACGAATATGTTAAATCTGGCTCTTTTTTTTTTAAAGTTTTACATTAAAATTCATCCCACATATATATAATAATGTCTCTGTATTGAAGCGAAAAATTAGTAAAAACTTCACATTTTTTGTTTCTGAAATTAAAATGCGGACAATGACGATTTGTTTACACCTATCATAGTATAGATTAAACTTTAAAAAATAAATTCCCAAATCGGCAACTTTCAGACGAATATAATTTTGAAGTGAATTATAGTTTGCATTTTTATCAAGGAAAATAATGACCTAACTCAGGTCATTATTTTATGCCTTGGAGCATATTTCATTGAAACATGGTATTGTCCGGGTTGATTCTTCGAAAGAATGACCTGTCGTTCTGAAAGAAAATAACTCCATATAGGTATATAATATCTTTTTTCGGACGTCAAAGCGATTTAACAATTGCGGTTGTCCAATTATGTCATCTTTTAACTTTTATCTGGTCAAAATTTTATTTTAAAACGAATGCATGATCAACTTTAAAAACATAAAACATATAGACAAAATATACTTCTGTCCTGTCTTTTTCGTACTTGTAAGTTATTAGACAGTAACAAAGCTACTTGGATCAAGCCTTGTGAAATTTGCATTTACGTTTTTGAATAGGTAAAATGTATAGTTTGGTGAACTTTTCTGCTAACTACTATACTTGTGAAAAACCCTTGGCAACAGAAACATATTCAGCTTTTTTTTTTAATCGACCCAATTTACATAGTAATGGACGACTTCTTACATTTTATGATCGCAAATAAAATATGTATATAATATACTGTGCACTGTAGTTCGTATATTCATTTTTTCTTTTATTAATGGATTTTCCCGTCTTTCTGGGAGTAATTATTTGTTATTGACTCCTTAAGCTTACTCGCAAATAATTTAAAACCAAGACTTGCATTATAAAAATGTCCAAACAAACCTTGATTTTCCTTTTTTTAGTGAGTTGACCAAAGTAACATTGCGGAACATTTGCCAGTTTCCATGCGGTATCCGTGTTTTTTTCACTCGCTCTGTTCTGCATCCACTCAACTTTCGTGTTTGTCATGACAAGGCCATTTGAAGCTTTCATGCTATACAAAGTGTGTTTTGCTTATTGTTGAAGGTAGTACGGCGACCTATATTACTAACGTCTGTTGACCACTGGAAGGGATTTGTCTGATTGTGTATCACACCACATATTCTTATTTTTATATGCAGTTATATCTATAATAAAATTGAGAATTGAAACGGGGAATGTATCAAAGAGACAACAACCCGACCAAAGAGCAGAAAATTTGTTTTCGGTTAATTGTTTTGTTGTAGATTAGGCCGTTGGTTTTCTCAATTGAATTGTTTCATATTTTTCATGTCGGGGACTGTTGTAGCCGACTATACGGTATGGGTTTTTCTCATTGTTGAAGGCCGTACGGTTGCCTTTAATTGCTTACATCCACTTCATTTGAACTTTGGTGGATAGTTGTCTTATTAGCAATCATACCACATCTCCTTATTTTTAT